CAGGCCTACTTCAAAAGATTGTAAGACATGACCTTGGAACCTTCTTGCTCTCCTTGTGGCCATACCCAGATTGGATTTCCACAGGGCATGTATTTTTTTAATATTTTTTTTAATAAGAAGTTGGGGGTTTTGACTAAGAAGCCTCGTCTTTGTACTTTTAATTCAGCCCATGTGACTGTCATAACATTTATTTCTTAGGAAATGAAACATGTTCCTCCTTGAGCAGAGCCACAGAAGAAAGCTGTCGGGTACGCCGGCGACCTCAGGTGTGTGCAGCACGTGTCTGCTGGTGATCTGCTAGCGCTGGACAAAGACCATCACCCCAGGTCCTTTGTTGCTTGGGCCATGGCTCTGCCAGGAAGAGAAACATCAGAAGCCACCTTCTCTGTTGTGGAAGGATTTATATTTAAGGTGTCTTTGAACACCTGAGCAATCAGGGAAACTTAATTTTCCTCTATTGGGGAAAAGCTGCTTTGTAAAGGCTCGCTTGACCCGTTGGGCCAACGCTGGCAAAAACGGATGAGCTTCAAACGAGATGGAAATGGGCAGCGAAGGATGTGTGGATGTGTCACTGCAGCCCAGGATTTGTCACATTGTAAAACAGCACTGCGGTTTTCCCCGCCAGATATATGCAGTGAAGTTTGTGACCTGGGGGTGATTTGAGTGCTGCCGGCTGGGGAAGTTACCCCGACTGGCAGCATTTGGGAAGGCAGAGCCTCCCGCTGTCTCCGAGTGCCGGTTTTGGGTCTTCCCCAGAAGAGGCTGGAGGAACGTGCTAAAACCGATCTGGAAACCTTCCTCCTGCTGACGAGAGGAAGCTTTCCAAATGGGCATGGGAAAAGCTTTCCTTTGGTAATCCTGGAGATAACAGGTCACGCAGCTTTGCCCAGCGGTTCTTGCACAATAACTTGTGGTCAGGCTGAAGTGTCTATTTTAGAAAGGCATCCAAGTGATGGGAGGTCATGCAGCATCTTTGTTATCTCTTCCCGTGGTTAGTTACTCTCACTGTTCCCAGCGCTTTCCTTATTGCTCACCTCCATTTTTACCAGCTTTCCTTTCCAGCTGCTGCGTTTTCGTGTGCATTTGCTGGCTTTAGAGGCTCCAAATACCTTTGCATGTTTGAAAAAAAAAATAAAAACAAAACACCAAAACCCCCAAAAAAACTTAGTGAATGGGTGTGAATGTTCTCCTTAAGTGGCAGCAGCTTTGTTATGGAAGGCTCTTTGGTTTTATTAGACTTTTCAACCCTCCAGTCGACTGTTAAACAAGCCGTAGCTTGTCACGGTTGACAAACCTTCGCTCTGGTCTCAGACCTAACCTACCAGTTTAAAAGGCAGTATTCTTTTGTGTGCAGGTTTCTGGGTGGGGACCATCAGGCTTCGAAGGGAAATTAACTTGCTGCCTTTCTTTCCACCTCCCACCTCAAATAAATTAAGGTTTGTGTTAACTGTTCTGTCACTTCCAAAGGCCAAAAGGAAGTGTCAGCCTATGCTTTAGGTTTTCTGCTGCCAGAGGTACTCTGCTGCACAAAGAGTGCAAGTAGGTGGGAATATGTAATTATATTAAAAACAAAACAGCTGCACGATCAGTGTCAGCAGCTGAAGATAAAATGCATAAAGTTGGGGGTTTTTTTGAATGATTCATGCATAATTATTTAAAAACATGTTGAATTTATTCTGAAGCTTTGGAGGAGAATTATTGCAAGGCTGGCGTTTGCCGTCCATGATGTTTATACACCTGAGTAAATGCCTGTCTCAGCAGTTTGTCGGTGTGGAGCGCTCCAGATCTAAATCCCTGCAAAGGTAAACCCAGCACACCTTTGTCTCTGCGGCTCTTCCCGTCTCCAGAGCCTCCACTCGTGAAGTGGAACCAGTCGTAGTGGTGGCTGGCACTAGGCTAGGCAGGGTGCTGAGGTTCACAAACCATTTTAATAACTGTTTCATGCAGAGTTGCTCTCCGTAGGTTTAGGTGGCAAAGGCCGTAGGAGCTGGATGACACAAATATGCTGATGGGAGTGCTGGAGGGTGGTTGGGGAGCAGCTTTGTGTGCCCGCCAAGCTGTGGGCTCTGTTTGCTCTCATCTTTTTGCAACCCTCCAGCAGTACCTGTTGTATGGGTTGTGGAGGTCGGGGGAAGAAGGGAGGGAAGCGCCTTTGGATGGTCCCTCTTGGATGCAGCAGGCTGGCCATGTCTGATTTTAGGGGTGTTGGAAGGTGCTTTTCCTCATGGTGTGTCATTGCAGGTGTTGGTGCTTTCTGCCCAACTGGGCAAAACTCAGTATTTTTCTTTTCAACCCTGCAGTATTCAGGAGAAGGTGCTGAGAGAGGGGCATTTTTCACATGCTTCTCTCCCTCTGTGTGATTGCCAAGAAGTTGGAAATGTGCTACACCGAACCGGCTGCAAATTATTTTGGGGTGGTTGTTGTTGTTTTTATGCTAACCTAGCACTCTGCCCGACTCACCGGCCCAGATAAGCATCCGTGCAGGGCAGGGCTCTTGCCCACGTGGCTGGGAGGGCAGCCGGCGCAGCCGTGGGTGTCACCGCCAAGCGACCAACGCCTTGCAGTTTCGTCAGGTTCGGGGAGCGTTTTTCCTCCGGTGAGAAGCACAGCGTGAGTGCGTGCTGCAGCCTTCACTGCCTTTCGCTTTGCTCCTCTGCAGCAGAGCGGGGAGAGGCAGGGAAGGATCTCTGAGACCCACACCTCGAGTTGCAGCTCTGATCTGGGCATTAGTCCCTGGGACAGTTCACCAGTTGAACTCCACCACCCTATCGTGCTGGAAGAGACGAGCAAAGTTGAGGAAGGCGGAAACTCCAGTGCTTGTCCTAGCCCCTCTCCTGCTGAGCCCTGCTGCCCACAGCTGTAGTAAGGAGTTCAAGGAGGCTTTTCTAGTCCTGCAGCAGCCTTGGCAGGAAAGCCAGCTGGCCCCACATTGATCTGTTTTCCTTTCTCGATGCAGTGCTGGAGCTCCACGCCTTGCGAGCCGACCGTCCCTTGCTAACACCTTTGACTTGGGCACTCTCAGCCTGTGAGAGGTGGCTTGTTGGAGATGTGGCAAGTGAGCTGATATCTCACTGATTTTGTGGTGCAGATGCAGGCCTTGCAGTCCTCCAGTGCCTGCCCACAGCTCTTCTACACCTTCAGAAGGTTGGATGTGTCCCACAGCTTGCAGGTTTTGCCTCCCCAGTGGTAGGATGCACTCAGGAAGGCAGCAGCTGCTTGAACTCGGCAAGGTCATCTGGGTTTTGGTCCCTGGTGGTGACGCCGTGAGTCAGCTCCACATGGATTGCTCTCTTTCTCACCTCACGTAGGTTCTTCTGTCTGGAGCCATCAACCACATCGCCAGCAGTCAAGCTACAAGCAATCCTTTTCTGTTGTTAATTGCTGCCTGTGGTTTGGCACCAGCAATGTCAGAAACCCTCCCAGGTAGCCCATCTTGGGCTGTGGCCTTGGGTGTTGTGTGTGGCCTTGGGTGGTACGGAGTGGCATAATCCTCTCACTTCCCAGCTTTGGAAATCATCCTGGAAGCCTGAGCTGAAGAAAGAGGATGGGACTGGAGCCAGACCTCTTGTTCCAGATGGGACAGCAGTGGCAGGAACCCCTATTGGGCACGGAGGTATTGCCAAGCCACAGAAGGCAATTATCAGGAAAGAAAAATATGCTTCCTTTAAAATTTGAATTTAAAAAATAATTTTTCTTCTGAAATTGAATGTACACAAATTGATATGCCAAGTAGGCAAAATTGGGATTGTAAGAGCTAGCATATGAAATCATCTAACTCGTGTAGTTAGCAACTTAGTCAAACAGACAGGTTTCTCAAACAGGATTATGTTTGTGCCGGGCTGCCGGGGTTCACCTTTACTATCCTAGTGCTCAGTGCAGCAGTTCCCTCTGTGGTACCACATTTTGAGCATGAATTTGGAAACAGAGAGCGGGTGGGAAATCCTCTTTGGGTGCTGGGGTGAGCGGGGAGATGGGCAGCATCAGGGCGGCCGTGCTGTGGCAGGGCAGAAGGAGAGGCGTCACCTCCAGCCTGGGACCTGCAGTGATCCGGGCTTGAGAAGGTGGAATAGAGAAGGGGCCCTGCTGAGCGTGCGAACCGTCAGGAGCTGTTGGAGGTCAGAGTTGTGGGGAAGCGCCTTACTAGAGCTTTACTATTCTTCTGGCTTCCCATATAGACAAAACTGATTTCTCTTGGAGAGAAGTGTGTCAAAGCTTGTCCCAGGCATGCTGTTAGCTTTCCTTGTGTTAATCCTTCCTCCTTGCTCTTCCCATGGTCTCTGTGATGCAAGATCAGAAAAGGCTGTCTCAGTATCTTGCTGTAGCCGATTGTGGTTTTACCCCTCTCACCAGATTTATTAAAATACTTATGCTCTCAGCAAGTACGTCAGCCATGGCCTCCAGACCTGATGTTGACGGTAGTCTCGCTTCAACCTGGCGGTTGGACTACTCTGCTCTTCCAGAGGTCCCTTCCAACTAATACCTCTGTGATTTTAGTTCCGAGTTAACTGCCAAGCGATCCTCCTCTGTCACATGCACATCTGAGGGACTTTCTCAGCTTTTGTGCAACGACGAGCCTTCAGAAGTTCATAGGCACATATGGTTAAAATAATGGCGCTAACATCTGGCGAGGACACAGGGAACCATCGCTGCAAAGAATCATGAAATACGAGTGCCCTGCTCCGAGGTAAAAGTGGAGTTGCAGCAGCTCTAGCTACAGGAGTAAGAAAAAGCACTTTTCCCAAAAAAAATTGTGGAAAATACTGAAAAGTGAAGGATGAAACTGCGAACCTGTAACAGCCATATATGTTAGATTGTATCCTTGTCTGTCTCCGCTCCTCTAAGGATGTTTTTCAATCTTTCTGGAACGTTAAGCTTTCAAATTGAGAAAGGTGTGTTTCCTTTCCTCTCAATCACGTAGTGATTTTTAATTTGCTGTTTGATCCTGGTTCTCATGCATTAGCAGCATAGGAGCTACCGCATTGGGTTACAAATAAAGCAAGTGGCTGTTCCTTTAAAAAATCATAAGGCTTAAATCGTGCAGTGTTAAAATCAAGCATATTTTTGAAACAACAGAAATGGAAGGAATGGATTTTTTTGTTGTTGTTTAGACTTGGTATGCATGTTATGATCCTCGCATTTTTTAAATAGCTACTCTAAAATCACTTCTGGAGGTGAATTTCTCTTTGCAGAGGTCCTGCATCTCGCCTCCGAGGCCAGCAAAGGTGAGAATGGGCAATGCACTATTTTTAGAAATTGGCAGTGATACATTCCAGGAACTCCCGCAGTATTTTTCAGAACTGAGTTTGAAGGTTTTAAACATAGATAGGGAAATATGTCATCTGTATAAATTGCTCTAAATTAGCTGCAATTTGTTGGGAGTTGCCATTTCTAAGTGCCTATTGCAACTCTAGATATTTGAGGAAGCTTTTGATTATCCTGAGCTTGTAAAATGTAATTGGCTATTTCTTAATTGTTGTCCTCTGTGAAGTATAATTACCTGTAATGTAGAGCTTTTTATTTGTCAATGCCGCAAACAGGAAATCAAGAGTGTCTGATTGAGATAAGTTTGGGGACTCCACCATGACTTGTAATTGCATCAGGTGACTTGTTT